TCCAACACGGTTGATTCTATGATTCTACCCTCTTGCTCTTGCAATGAAGATCATTTCCCATATTCCTTGTTTTGAAATCTTACCTCTCTCCAAGGAAAAATATTTGTATCGGATTTTAGACGTCCTTTCTCTTAGCTTTTGTTAGTGATACAGTGTCCCTTCTGCTGTTCCAATAGCAGCACCACATGCATGGTGAGGAACCTCTGTCTGTGCCTGTCTCAGACTGATTTCTGCCTTCTTGCACACTGCTTCAGCTGGACCTGCCATTCTAGCTGAGGACGTCCTATTGTCCTGTATAAGAGCGCTGCATTCTTTGACTCTGCTGGTTGAGTCCCTGCCCAAAATATCCTATTTTTTTTGCCTTTCTCACTGTTGTGATAGATTAGGGCTTACTGGCTAGATCATAGTCCCCTTGAGTGGTTTTTAATTTGTTATTAGTGTGGCTACAGTGTAGACATCTGTATTTAAGCTGATTGCCCTAAACTCCTCCAGTGGTCTCAGAAGTCATTTGAGATCAAATTAATGGAATCTAAAGCACAATTCATTTCATCTGCAAGAAGGTGTCTAACTAGTCAAATGAATCACACCTTAGAATGCTGATTACTCTTTTCTGACCTTAAAAATACAACCAAACTAGTCAAGGATAGATTTAGACATTGCACATATCCAAATCAAGAGAAAATGAATTTGTCTTCTTGTGTTTCAGAATATTTCCTTTTTTCTTTTTTTACCTTTATTGTCCTTTTTTCCCCATTTATGTCTTCACAAATTAATTCACTTCCACTGCATAAGTATACTCATTTAATGTTATGTTTTAGATCTCTAATCATCTCTCTCAGCATGTGGACAGGCATTGAATTAAACACAGGTCTAACAGGCTAACTTTATATCTTTTTTTATAATATCTTACAACTTTAAAATATGCATATAACAAAGCCTTGTGCTTCTGATTGTGCAGAGGATGCTGGGCCTTATAGTTAAGGATATCTGGTGTCTTCTATATTACTGGAAAACAACTGAAATTGCAAAAGGCAACATCTTGAAAGTTTTTCTTGGAAAGCTCATGAGTAATATCTTCTGCTTAGTCTAGAATGACTTTGTTTTGTCTTTACTTTTCAAATTCATCTTTGCAATTGCAGCATACAAATTTTACTAAGATCTATAGAACATTTTTAATTTAAGTTGAAGAAAATCACATGGACCTTGTCTTTTCTCTTCTTGGCAATTAGGGTGTCTGTTGACAGAGAGAAAATTCTTTTTGTGTAACGTTCATACATTCTGTGTTTCATAGCAAGTGACAAAATCCTAAGACAGTTCAGTGTGTTATAGTTTATATTATTGGCATATTATTATCACAGTTCTAAAATTGTGAGATGCAGGATTATTTTTTCTTTGCATATTCTTTGCCATGCTTTAATTAATCTGGGTGATTCTATAGGAATTCTAGTATAGTACTGTCATGGTTTAACCCAGCCACCAAACACCATGCAGCCACTCGATCACTCCCCTACCAGCAGGATGGGGAAGAGAATCTGAATGGTAAAAGCTAGAAAAACTCATGGGTTGAGATAAAGACAAGTTCAATAGGGAAAGCAAAAGCTGCACATACAAGTAAAGCTAAACAAGGAATTCATTCACTGCTTCCCACAGGCAGGTGTTCATCTACCTCCAGGAGAGCATATGAACAACAGTTACTTGGGAAGACAAATGCCATAACTCCAAATGTTCCCCCTCCCTCCTTCTTCCTTCCACTTTATGTACTGAATGTGATGTCATATGGTATGGAATATCCCTTTAGTCAGTTTGGGTAACCTGTCCCAGCTGTATCTCTTCCCAAACTCCCATACACCCCCAACGTCCTTGCCAGTGTGGCAGTACAGAGCATGATAAAGACCTTGGCTCTGTGTAAACTCTGCTCAACAATAACAAAAAATCTCTGCATTATCAACCCTGTGTTCAGCACAAGTCCTAAACATAGCCCCATACTAGTCACTGTGAAGAAAGTTAACTCTACTTCAGCCCAAACCAGTACAAGTACCTATTCCATTTTGTATTAAAGTTGCTGGTATTGTCATATAAAGTTGAAAGGAACTGAAACTATGTGAACTCTACAACTCCCTGAAAGGAGGTTGGAGTCAGGTGGGGGTTGATCTCTTCTCCCAGGCAACCAGCAGTAGGACCAGAGGGCACAGACTCAAGCTCTGCCAGGGGAGGTTTAGGTTGGATATTAGGAAGAAATTTTTTGACAGCGAGAGTAATCCGGCATTGGGATGGGCTGCCCGAGGAGGTGGTGGATTCACCATCCCTGGAGGTTTTCAAGACAGGACTGGATGTGGCACTTAGTGCCATGGTCTAGTAGTGATGGTAGAGTTGGACTAGATCTCAGAGGTCTTTTCCAACCTGGTTGATTTTATGATTCTATGAAATAAACTTGGGAGATTTATGCTGCCATAGAAGTAGTAAGATGTAGGACCCCATCCTGCTTCCACAGAATAATGTTCCAAAGAGTGCTCCCATTTATTTTAATAGTGCAGATCAGAATATGGATGAATCTTCAGTAAAACAAAGTGAATCAAGACAAGGCTAATGCGTGGTTTAACTTATGACCATTTTATTTATTATGCAAACAGACACACACACACGAAGACAGCCCTCTGCACAAGCAAGTTATCAGTCTGTTATTTCTTGTTTATGGGCATGAGTTCACTTTGGCTTTGTTTGTCAACTTTACATCTATTTATGAAGCTGTAGATAGTTTTAATGAGCCCCATGAATGTTATTAGGAGCTGAAAGTGTATGCAGGATAAAGCAATAAAAAATGATTCATGCGCAGTTTGCTATCATGGCATTGCCAACAATGCTTGTAAAATACTTTGAGATCCTTAGATTAAAGCTGTCTTAACCTAAATTATGGGATGTTGATTTTATTTATGTGATGACACGTATGCACATACAGATACAGATTGAGAGGCAAAGCTCTACAAAAACCTAAGGTGTGACTGAATTGTAAATATTCAGGCCAGTAATTATATACTATAGGAATAATATTCTTGAGATAATACATTAAATATAGCTCAATGATCAAATGAAACATAGAAGAACTGAATTAGATAGCATTGTAACTTCACAATTTCAAGTTCTTATTTTCTGTTCTACCCAAAATATGTTTTGATGGTTAATGACAATGCTGCATCCAAAGTTCCTCAGAACCCTAGTGTGGTGCAATACATTTCTCTGCTTCAGAGAGCTGTGTTTAAAGAAGTATTGCTAGTCAGGGTCCTTTCTCTTTTTACCTTCTCCTCGTCTATATTCACCACACACATAATCACTGCTACTCCAGTAGTAAAATGTAGTATTGTCTCCAGCCAGTCTTTCACTTCATTCTTCTGCTGTTCTAATTCTTTTATAGATTTCTGTACAAGTCACTGAGAAACATTTATTGAGAAGATTCACAGTGATCACTCAGTAAGCTTATATAGCTGCAAAAAAGTGTTCCACTTTCCTTTTCTTCCTTTCCACGGTCTAACAGTTGCACACAAAAATGACCTCTATCCAGGAGCATGCCTTAGTTACAATTACAGGAGCCTTCTGCATGACTTAAGCTGGCTAATTAAAATTCTCATTAAAATCTGAGCCATTGAAGCAGAGAGTCAATATATCATTTCTTTCCACTTTACAGTTTGTTTTTTTCAGCATCTAATAGCCTTCACAGGGATCATTCCATTCATTCATAAGCCTGTAAGTAGTTGTATTCTGGCCCATATTTCCAAAAATGGCCTTATACTTGGCATAATTGCAGTGTTCTGGACTCATAAAGCCCATTCAACAAAGTCCTCAGTGTATGTACACATGTGGTTTCAGTTCAATTAGTTAGTTGAGATTTAAAATTTTCCAGTGACTGAAGATAACTGCTTTTGACTGTTTAGCCCCAGTTTCTGATGCATGAAATCTAGGATTCTCCTGTGATGTCTCAGAAGTTGTAAAGCTTCTTATATTGTATCAGATCAGGAACCTGGGGTTCTTCCTCGCCTGTATTGCTCTTTGAGGCAATCTTCCAGGCATCTCTGCCCCAAAATGTTTGCATGGTGTTGACAAGGTATTGCATACTTGAAAATAGGTACCCCTGAGCTTTTATATTTAATGGAAAAAAAAGTTAAGCACATGTATATACAAATGAAGTTTAGAAATCTGTTTATAAATGGATCTCCGTGAAGAGTGTCATCAGAGGAACAATTTCTTATTTTTAGAGACCAGCTCAAATTACATAGTGGAATTTTTTTGTTTCACCCTTTCACCTTCATGGACTTCCAGCTATATCTACACACAGAGTCATTACACAGTTGTAGTGAGAAAGAAATGAAATTCACACTGAAAGCAGCTGTTAATCTTTAGTTTAGATTTATTAGCACTGCCCCAGCTGGTCTGATGGAGAACACTTCATTAATTTTCATAGATGCCCCTCAGAGGGTGACTAAAGAAAAACTAATCTGATTGCAAGTATATGTTACTATTCTTTCTATTTTTTAATGTTTGTGTATAATGGATTGCCGAATGGATGGGAAAGCATAGTGATGCTGAAACTGGTTTTTAATTACAATATTTTCACTTCTTTTCAGTATACCTCTGCTCTAACCTATGATGCTGTTCAAGTGATGACAGAAGCTTTCCGTAATTTGCGTAAACAGAGGATTGAGATCTCCAGAAGAGGAAATGCTGGAGATTGTCTTGCAAATCCAGCTGTACCCTGGGGTCATGGTGTAGAAATAGAAAGGGCATTGAAACAGGTAGCTTCCCTGGAGTGGATGCTGGGATGAGTGCATGTGTGAAATTCTCTATGAATGCTTGGAAATAATCTTCCAGCCTCCTAACCTGTCTGGATCTTCCTGGGAATAATGTGGAAGTGAAGTCCTCAGGAATCTGTCTAAGATAAAATATCACTGTCGTGGTTTAACCTCAGCCAGCAATCACACAGCCGCTTGCTTGCTCCCCCACCAGCAGGACTATGGAGAGAAGCAGAAGGGTAAAAGCTAGAAAACCTCATGGGTTGAGATGAAAACAGTTTAATAGAGAAAGTAAAAGTAATGTGCACAAGCAAAGCAAAACAAAGAATTAATTCACTGCTTCCCATGGGCAGGAGGTGTTCAGCCATCTCCAGGAGAGCAGGGCCCCATCACACATAACTGTTACTTGGGAAGACAAATGCCACCACTCTAAACATCCCCTCCTTCCTCCTTCTTCCTCCCACTTTATATACTGAGCATGGTGTCATATGGTATGGAATATCCCTTTGGTCAGTTTGGATCACCTGTTCCAGCTGTGTCTCCTCCCAGTCTCCCATGCACTCCCAACTTCCTTGCCAACGTGGCAGTATGGGAAGCAGAAAAGGCCTTTGCTCTGTGTAAACTCTGCTCTGCAATAACAAAAAAATCTCTGCATTATCAACCCTGTGTTCAGCACAAATCCTAAACATAACCCCATACTAGTCACTGTGAAGAAAGTTAACTCTACCACGGCCAAAAACAGCACAGTCATGTATGAAAAAAGAGTCTAAGCTGAATGTTCTTGAACTATCCGTAATCATTTGTGGAAATGCAAAACACATTTTCTAAAAAGAAGCGAGCAGTTCAACCACTTTCATCTTCATCTTCACAGGTTCAGGTGGAAGGTCTAACAGGGAATATAAAGTTTGATCAGAATGGAAAGCGAATCAATTTTACAATAAATGTCATGGAACTCAAAAGTACTGGTCCTCGGAAGGTAATTTGAATTGACTTACAGTATCTTTAAAGGTTTTACCATGCTAATGGGTAAAGGTAGGTAATGAAACATTGGATTAATTAAAGCATGAGTCGTGATAATATTTATTCATGGGTGTATTCTACAGTGGGCTTGGAGAACAATGTAAAAGTATATATTATTTCCTTCTAACAAATATGAATTCTTATTTCTGGTAAGTACTACATATGACTATTCTCCTTTCAGTTTTGAGGATTAAACATTTTGCTCTCTCATCTGAATTGCTAAACGTGAGCCACTATTTGAGGAAAAACACTTCTGAATGACAAAAGCTGGATGCAGCTTTTCAGTGATATTTTTATAAATGTGTTTATCTTTCTGCTCTAATTTCAAGTCTTTCAGGAAAAGCCTATTTCTCATGTCTTCCTAATGTGGAGTATTTCATAACCCTTTCAGTTCGATGGTGTGTGATGTTGATACTAAAACCTCATAATATGTGAATAAAAAATGGTATACCTGTTTTAGACAAAGTAATGTGAACAAATGTCATTAGTTCAATCATTTACTCTTTGTTGTAGTCTTTTGCTACATAAATAGAAGTAGTTACACTGATAAATCCATAGCTAAAATAGTTCTCTCTGAACATAAATCAAGGGCACAGTAATAACATGTTTTACACTTTCTATAAAAGTTCATATTCACTGGTGTCTGTGCATCCTATAAACTCTCTTTAGATTGGCTATTGGAGTGAAGTGGACAAAATGGTTGTGAATCCTCTTGACGGCCCTCTTGGAAATGAATCTTCAGGACTAGAGAATAAGACTATTATTGTCACCACTATTTTGGTAATTAACCTCATATTTTGTCAGAAGACAGTCTGTTCTACAATGGTTTGTTTCTTGTTGTTGTGTTAGTTTAAATATACTGTCTTCTTATTATTTGAGGTTGTGACCTGCTACTCATTGTGATACATAAATAAAATCTGGAAATTAAGGAAATATATGTGCTTCAGTATACGGTTTTGATCTGTAGAAGACAAATGGTCATTGATTTAGCATCCTAGAAATTTAACATTTTTAAACCTGAAATTGGAAATTAAATACCTGCTTTCAAAGGAGAGGAACTTTCTGGGAGGCAGAACCATAGTGTTAATTTGAGAGAATAGAATCTGGAAAACAGCTAAGAGACTGGTTCTTATGCTTCAGGATTGTAGCTGCTATGGATTGGTGAAGTGTAAAATAAAATGCTATAATTGTATTCTGATTGTTTAGAAAATAATGTTATGTACTGTCGTAGAACAGCATTTTTCTGTAAATTACACAGCTTCTTTATCAGCTTTGACAAGTCATAGATTAGCATAGGTATTTATCTGGATGCAAGGGTAGTTCTGTAACAACTTAGCAAAGAGGAGATATGTTACTTTAATGTGATTTATGACTCATCACCAGTTTTGATGATGATAGACCTTTAGTGCATAGTTATAGATGTCTTACCTATTGTTTGTGTAGTAATTCAATAAAAATACAGCCTGGGGAGCCTGAAGTGTTTTCCCAGGGAGCAATGTGGTCTTGTATTAAGACAATGAAAGCAACTAAATACCTTTGCCTTCTTCCATCCAAACTGTATGAGAGAAAGAAACTGATTATGGAATTTACTCTTTCTTCTCTGAACGCATTACTCCTGTTAACATTCATGGTCATTATTAACATACTTCTGGGAATCACTATGCCTGTAAGTATTGTTATTTGTGTATGACTGTGGAGAATGCAGCTTTTAAATGTGTTAAAGATATGTCACATTAATAATTAACAACTAGCTTATACCTAGCATGTATTATTCAGATGGTATCTGCTCTCTTTTCTTTCACATGTAAAAGGAAACATATTAATCTATTAAGTGTACAACTGATTCATCTGTCTCTTTACCAAGTAGCTAAGGCAAGTTCTTTCTGTGCAGGAGTCCCCATATGTCATGATGAAGAAAAACCATGAAATGCTTGAAGGAAATGATCGATATGAGGGCTATTGTGTGGACTTAGCTACAGAAATTGCTAAACACTGTGGATTCAAATATAAGCTCACAATTGTTGGGGATGGCAAGTATGGGGCAAGGGATGCAGACACGAAAATCTGGAATGGGATGGTTGGAGAACTTGTTTATGGGGTAAGAATATCTTCTATAATAAAGCCATTAAAGATGACTGATGGAAGGAGTGGGATTTGGTTTCATTTTCTCTGTAGAATATAGGAAAAATTATCTAATTCATTTGATAGAGAGTTAGCAACTTGTATTAGTATGAAAAATTTTGAAAGTAAACCATGCAGTTATATTTTAAATGAAAATGAAGTTGGGGGAAGTGAGTGCGTAATTCATCCTTTTGATCAGGTGGAAAGCAATGTATTTTAAAATTTTACGTGTCATATACTTTTGAAAGGACATATGTGAAAACAGAAGCTTGGAATACACCAACCATATGGTTATATGTATTTCAGTAAGAGTTCAACTCAAAAATTCTGAAATTCTCCATAGGATGTTCTTGGTGAAACAAATGTTGTGGGTGTCTCTGCTGTCCTATTTTCCATTTATGAAATGCAATAGAAACTAAGTAATTCTTTGCTCTGTTCATTGAATTTGCTATTATTTGCTTTTTTCTTCCTTTTCAGAAAGCCGATATTGCAATCGCTCCATTAACTATAACATTGGTGAGAGAAGAGGTGATTGACTTCTCAAAGCCCTTTATGAGCCTGGGGATATCAATAATGATCAAGAAGCCTCAGAAGTCCAAACCAGGAGTGTTTTCATTTCTTGATCCGTTAGCATATGAAATCTGGATGTGCATTGTTTTTGCCTACATTGGGGTCAGTGTAGTTTTATTCCTGGTCAGCAGATTTAGCCCATACGAGTGGCACACTGAGGAATTTGAAGATGGAAGAGAAACGCAAACTAATGAATCAACTAATGAATTTGGGATATTTAATAGTCTCTGGTTTTCCCTGGGTGCCTTTATGCAGCAAGGATGCGATATTTCGCCAAGGTTGGTTACTCACTCATTTCAACTTTGTGCATTTTTGGTCTCAGCCATCTCAGCCAGAGGAGGTTCATGGTGAATATATTTTCACTCTTGGAAAGAAATTAATTGCTCTTTTCTCTCCCTAGAATCACAGAAGTCTTTGAATTAAAAGCACTTTTCTGTGACATAGGGTCATGATGTATTTGGTCGATACTCTCGTAATGTCGATCATGTATTTGCCAAGTGAAGTTATATACACCATGCAGAGACTGTAAAATGCATAAGGTTCACATCATTCCATGCCTTCTTGGAGGGGTACCGTGTTTTTGCTGCATATTCCCATTTTACAGTTGACAGTGCATATAGTTCACAACAACTGTAATGGGAAAAAAGGGTAACATGATAGTCACAAACTACACAGACAGCACTTTCTCTCTAAAACTCACTACATGTCATAACACAGTTATTAACCCACTGTTACTCCCCAGGAGGGCCTTGAACTGAAATAAAAGTCATGTGATGGCTTTAATTTCATGTGCATAGTTGCAAAACACTGCTGTTTTTCCATGGCCTAGTTTTAGAAAAGTCACAAAGGAAATTGTTAAAATGAATCTGAAGGTCCAGTTTATAAGTGCTTAATTCCTCATGGATTTTCACCTACTTTATTAGGGACAACTGTAAAGCACTTAAGTTAATTTCTTTGCAGCTCATTAGATATTCTATTTCCCTTGTGCGCAAGTGGTTCTAGCCTTGATTCAGCGAAGTGGTAAGTAGGTAGGTAAATACTTGCTGCTTGAAGGAACTATAGTAACAAGTTAAATAGGGCATCTAGATTTAAGGAAATCAGATCTGAAGACTTACCTAATTATATGAAGCAGTTTTTTGTAAACATCCTGAATTAAGACAGGGAACAGGTCAATTTCTAGTGGGTCTAGTAGTTGGTGTACAAAATAAATCACACCAAGGGACCGTTTCTTAGGTATAAGTCATGCATCCCGAAAGGTAACAGCAGGTTTTCAAGCTGTTCTACTGCAGAAATAACAGAGCATTTATTGTGTGAGAACTCTAGCAATTTTGTGCAAAGGTTGCCGTATCATAGTGAGAGATGCCAGCCTTTATGGTGAAGGATGCAATGGATTTGGCATGTAACATAGTAAGAATTATATACACTAAACAAGGTAGTGAAAAGAGCAAATTTTAGCAGGTTATGAGAAGCTTTGTTAATTTCAGTCCTGTGGAGGTTTTTTATCGATTACACACTTTACAAGTTTAGTTGTTGGCAAAGTCCCCTATTAGCTACAAAACTATTTTTATAGAATAAAGACCATAGTAGAATAATGATTTTTTTGTTAGGATTATTATTTTACTGGCTATGAAAACACAACAGCTGTTTGATAGCTTTTGATAGGTAATGGAAGAATAACAATAGCAAATGGTCATCATAAAAAGTGCATGAAACTCAAATAATTTTGGATACTTAAGATTTAGTTTCAGTGAGGTGTTTAACAGCACTTCATTTCATTACAAACCTAACTTTGAGGAAAGTGGTTAATTTGTATATTGTCTGTTTATTATAAAGATAGAAAAGGACTGAAAACACTTCAGTTATTTTTGGTTTTGCACCAAAACTATCACTATGGAATTTGAACTCTTTGGAGATGAATCAGAGTAAATATGAAAATGAGTACCTTCAGGCATCAGCAAAATATCTTTTTGAAGTTAAATTTTGCACTACTGCTGTAATTTCTCTAATAAAAATGACAACCACTGTAAGAATTTTAGAGCAGACAAGAAACTGGGGCTCCCCAACTCTGAAATAGAAGGTGGTGCCGAGTAAGACTGGACCACCTGAAAATGGTCTGTAATGGCAGTTCCCTGTTGCCTGATGGGTAGCACAGAAACAACAGAGTAATACATTATATGATAATGACGACTGAAAGTAAAGTTTTGCCCATCTCTTTTGAGATGTGAGTGTACTCTGTTCTGCCAGATAATACCTTTCTAAGTATAAGATATAACGCACAAATTTCTGTAATTGTGCACAGAAACTGGTATTTTGGTACTTAATGGTCTGGTAAATTAGGTGCTTCAAGTGTAGGTTCATACTGGCATAGAAGGGTCAGCCTTTAGAAACTTTTCGAAACATACATAAATAATGATTTATTTAACTGGGACAGACTTTCTGGGGAAATACAAATGACAGCCCAAATTTTACTTATAAAATGTCATGTGGGAGCATAATATCTGGATTGGTATTGACCTTCTTCTTTGTTCACAAAGTCAATGCCAACTTTGCTCACAGATCCTGGCCTTTTGAAGATTATTGTCATTTATAGAGGGTGTCATCAGTACAATATAAAGTGCCATAAAATTTGTGGTTATGAAATACATATTGACAGAGATTTTTACCTTGCAAATATCATAGTATGTTAAGGTGTTGGCTTGCACCTTTGAGATCATCTAGTCCCACCCACCCATGCCATTGGCAGGTACACCTCCCACTAGACTAGGTTGCTCAAGGCCCCATCCAATCTGGCCTTGAACACCACTGCAATCTGTAATATAATATAATCAATATATCATATAATTCAATATTTTACTTGTAGAATTGTTTTATTCTCCTATTGCCTCTATGTCAAAGTAATTATGTAATAATTCTTCAAATGTGACAGCATGTTGGCAGAATACTTCTCAGTTTAGAGGGAACTTGAAATACGTTTTTTCCTGTGGTCCTTTTATAATAACACATTGTGGACCTCTTCTGACTTGATTTTCATATAGTGGAGTGAATTAGTGAGTCTTTTGTGACATTGAATAAATCTTTTAATATCAGAATTACCACTGAGATTTTATACAAGAGCAGTTAGTAAAATTTATTTGACAAGAATTGGTTCTATTTGGTTTTGTTCCCAGTTTAATAAATCTGCTTTACATAACTATCATGTTTAAATGTATATGTATAGTTACATCTATCTATATATTCTATGTCAGAATTAGTTTGTAGTCTCATTCACAGTACAGTAGGCTGGGTGAGTGATTTCTAATTTGTTTTCTTAATAGATAGACATATCAAGACATACCTAACCTACTGCAATGCCTTAGTACTAGGCTTTCAACTACATTCATATGTCTGCCAAATAATTAAGCACATCTCCAAAGATGATGTAATTCTTCCTATAAAGTCTTGCTTGGAAACAAAGTAGTAGTAATTTCAAAGTTTAAAAGATCATAGAAAAAAAAGTCATTCGACAATAATGCAATATCAATATTTCTCTTAGATTAGTTTTCTAGTATTGAAAATTATTGAATTGAGTTGTGTGCTCTATGCTGTTTTGTATATTTTCTTGAGTTCTCTTTTCTTCTTTCTTCTTGAGCAGGAGATGCAAAACACAGATCCATAAGAGCCCACCTGCTGCAGTTACAAACATCAGATTATTATTTTTTTAAAATATACTTTCTTCACCATTTTTCTGTATTATTATCACTGATTGTGTCATGTCCAGTCCTCAGTTTCTTAAGTGCTTGTTTATTTCAAAAGTTGTGTGCACTTACCAGTCTATAGATATTCCCTGGGCCTGCTTGTATTACAAATAATGCTATTTGTTTCCCAATATAGATTGTCCACAGCAGTATAAGTCATTGTCTTGTGGCAATCAGTCTTTGTCTGAATGTCTTAGGAAAACAATCAAGCTAAAGGCACTTGTTTTAAAAGTGCATACTGCTTTATCTGAAAGCAGTGTTTCGCTGATTTTCTTTGATCCTCTTCATAATGTCACACAAAATCACTTCAGAGGGAACAACAAGCTTATGTGTTAAATATAGCACATTATGATGGGAGCAGTTTCCTCCAAGGGTGTTTGGAACTTTGAAGAACTGGATCACTAAGTTCTCCCAAAAGTAAACTCTGGAGTCCTGATTTCAGCGAAGTCCAGGAGCTATAGTGGAGTATGCTTTGGTTTCCCATCTGATGAGTATGCAGAGCTGTGCGGCGAGATAGCCTGAAATGCTTCCCTATAGTATAATGCATCATTTGTGTAAAACTGATAACATGTGTTCCTTTTTAGGACTTTCATTTCACTTTACAAATCCATTTCATACTTGTTATTAGATCCCTGTCGGGGCGCATTGTTGGAGGTGTGTGGTGGTTCTTTACCCTCATCATAATCTCATCCTACACGGCTAACTTAGCTGCCTTCCTGACGGTTGAGAGGATGGTGTCTCCCATTGAAAGTGCAGAGGATCTTTCCAAGCAAACAGAAATTGCTTATGGGACATTAGATTCTGGCTCCACTAAAGAGTTTTTTAGGGTAAGAATTTCTACTTTTTAGATTATTTTTTTAGATTGTTTTAAATAGGTCTTCATTCATGTAAATGTTTTTCCTAGGCATTATTAAAAGATTGCTATAAAAATGTGAAGTGTGCAGCCCAACTCATAAGTGATTTTGTTTATTTATTATTACTGCATTTTTTATCTATGTACAAATATGAGGGTCTTGTTACAAAATACGCAAAGCAAATGACCTTAAAACTGTTCCACTACAAAGTGAACAAAATGTGTTTGGAGAAGGGAGTTGATGTCACTTATCTGTTTAATAGCTCTGCTATATTTTAGGTACTCACACAGTGAGTAAGAAAGAAAATGGGAAGGTGCACATTCATGTTTTAGTAAGTATTCCATGTGATATTTCAAGCTTGCAGATAGGGAATGGGATATAATCTGTTTGGCTGCTGTAATATCACAGAATCAGTCAGGTTGGAAGGGATCACAGTGGGTCATCTGGTCCAACCTCCCTGCTCAAGCAGAGTCATTCTAGGGCACATGGCACAGGATTGTGTCCAGACAGTTCTTGAGTATCTCCAGTGAGGAAGAATCCACAACCTCTCTGGCAGCGTGTTCCAGTGTGCAGTGACTCACACAGTAAAGAAGTTCTGTGTATGAGTAAATACATGCCTGCTTTTGAAAGCAGCTTTTATTTGTATCTGCATTACAGTAATGCCTTATAAGCCTGTCAGTCCTTACCTTCTGCCTCTGTGCATTGCAGGTTTAAAAATACATGAAACTTAAAATGTGTGAGTCTCAGGCTGGGTTTGAGACACCAGCTAGCATGGTGAAATTCACCTAGCAAATGAGTGAGAGACTAAGGCTGCTGGGAAAAAAAAGCAGAATGACTTTGCCTTGTCTGTGTCCTCTATGTGTCTCTCCCTGTAAGATGGAAGTGCATCTGAAGTGCTAAAGTAGAAGAAAAAAAAGTTGTTTTCATGTTTTTCAATGGATGATGTTAGGTTTAAACAAAATGTATTTTAAAATAGCTATAAATAATTCATTTACATTTCAAAGATAGCCTGACATTAAAAATGAAATGAAACAGGTTCTCAAAATTATTTTTTATACTGTGTAATTAGAGCAGTGGCTGCTAGATTATGGTTTTCACTGGATCCTGTAATGCCTACTTAACTGGTAATGTGCTATATAGTAACCATACTTGTCTCAATTGTAGAAAAGCATGACTTTCTGATTTTGATGATAGGTTCAGTAGTAATACCTGCTGCTGATTGTATTCCTGTTGGCTAAACCAAAATTAACATCAGGTGTGTAAGCTAGTAAAAATGAGATTGGGTTTGTGGTAAGAGTTTTTAGAAGCATTTAGAAGCATACAGGCATGTTTCTGGTTTTGTGAACATAAACCTTTTAGATCATGGCTGTACTGGGGATTAAGTGTAAACAGACAGTAGGTCACTTCTTTTGAATAGTTTCTCTTTCAAGATTTTTAACTTTGCTTTTTTAAAAGAAAAAATGTATGTGCACGCATTAGTACGAAGTTATGCTCATAGCACATGCATACATATTTCCACTTTATATTCTTAGCATATATATGTAGACCTATTTCTGCTTTTACACAAATAGTGTTCCTGGTGATTACTTGATCATTAACAACTTATTTTGTAAAGATCAGGTGAAGGCTTTGTGAGGGCATATTCTTCATGTTTTGTTAAGTTACCTTCAGCTCCACACAAACAAGGCTCTAATGATTGCTGGAAATTTATTCTCAGCAATTTCTATCACAAATAAGCTGGTGCATTATCTGCAATAGAACTTCTTCACCTAATAGCTCCATGTACCATTTGCTAAAAATCACTTAAACCTGCCCAATTATTTTTCAAGAAATAGCAGCTGTCAGAATTTCTTTTTAGGAGGCCTGAAGTTCAAGGTTCAAGAATGATACTCACTCTGCTGAAGGCAATGTGAAAGGAATCTGTAGCACTGAAGAGAGTAAAATCTCACCTAGAGTATATCTATATTCTGCCTGGGTTGGAGTTGATGTGTGATTTTTATATGACCTGAAATTAGGATGCAAATTCTTTGTACAGCTGGAAAAAACTTGAGGGTTCCCCTAGTAGCAAGCTAAAATGGTCTAGCTTTGTCAGTGTCAGGAATGAAAAGAAGCATTTGGATTTTTTCAGTTAGTCTGTTTTCAAGAAGTGGTGTTATTTGCAAATTTGTTTCCTATTGATGGAATGTATACTGAATCTTCACTAGTAAAGTCCTAATTCCTGGAACAGCACAAAATTAAGAATAGTTGTGTACTGGGGATGTGAACAGTAAACTGAATTTTCTTAGCCACTAAAACATGTTTTCTGATATGCTTACACAATTGAAAAAGAGATGTTTTGCAGTATTTCTCAAAAAGAAATTCTCAGCAGCAAGCTACATGGTGAAAGTTAGCTGAAAAATCCTATCCTGAATGGCTGAATATATGTAAGCAACATTAATTGAAAGAGGTGCGTTCAAGTTTCGTCCTGCTCACCACACACCCTACAGGCAGTAGGCATACAAGCTAGTCCATGTTGCTTGAATTGAGGATAGCATCCTTGGCATTCATCACGAAAGATGAATTGCCTTTGCACTTTACCCTAATTTAGGTACACACTCACTAGCTAGTAAGAGATATTCTTGCCAACAGTGAGTAGAGCATCAGTTGGCACTGCATCAAGAAACATAACTGAGAAAAAGAGATGAAAAGACATTGTACTCTAGTGTTTCTAGTCCTGCTTTAAGATGAGAAGCAGAAACTTGGTACATTCTACATAGGAAATACCAGTGCATAAATAATGGATTTCTGCGTATTTTTTAAAGAAAAAGGAAGAAAGTAAAAGATAATGACACAGCTTTGCTGATCAGTAAACATCAGAAGGATACTATTAGTTCTTAGTAATAATGTTACAGAAAATTTTATAGATATGTATCTATACATACAGACATTTTTCTATAAGGGCAGATCTATCACGTCGCTGTAAATACCAGAATATGTAGTAGTTTTCCTGAGAAAATCTCCAGGTTGGTACTAGTAGAAGTGCAAGTGTGACCCAAGTCTACAGAATTCTGTTCCACTGAGTTGGGATATTTACCTCTTCTGATATTTGCTAGTGCCTCTGCTTTAAAGACAGTGCTTGTAGAGTTCTTAGTGCCACTGAAAGCCTAAACAAAGACACACAGTTCATTAGTGTTTCATTTTCTCTTGGGCTATGGGAAAAACATCAAAGAAAATATATGTGGCTGTTGTTTTCCCAAAGTGCATTGTTTTTGTCAAATCAGTAGTGGATTGTAGTGGTGAGAATGCAAATAAGTCTGCAAGCACAGCTTGGAAGATTCAGGAATCATTTCAGTTGATCTTGTGCAGGTGCATCATCTCTCTCATTCTTGGGTTGCAAATACTACTTGATGGAGTGGTAAATGGTGGGACAGTGAATAACATCACTCTGGTATGCACTAGTGACACAATCCACAGTCACATGGTATTGTTACCTTCAGTGATTTCTCAGCAGCTACGGGAAGTGCAGTTGATGCATACATTAGCCAGGACACACAGTTGAGCTTTGAAGGGGGAAAAAGTCACTAACCGAAGAAGACAGTCTACAGCTCGCCAGCCACTGCAGAATTTAATTTTAAAGCATTGTCTATATGTGTTGACTCCTGAAGTTGCCTCACTTATTTTAATGGGCTACAGCACTGGAAGAAAGAATCAAGGTAAGTATTCAAGCATTCACTGGAACATTTCCATGCTTTCCACCTGCTTGAAGGCACATTGAAAATTAATATCAAAATGATACAACAAGAACAGAAGTTAATAATTTTTACAATTCAGTCCTGGTTTTACTCTATGCCTAGCTCTGTTCTTTAAAGATATGTACAAATCTGGTGGACAACTGAAATCAATCATGCTGCCTTTTTTCCACTTTTGAAGATGAATTGTCACTAGTCCTACGTGTAAGGTAATAAGACAACTCAAAAATGAAATTATATTTTAGCAATAATGAAACTAATTTAAGAATAATTAGACTAATTTACTTTCTCTCTGCATTAGTTTTGGGTTGTGTTTTTAAAATCTCTTTGTATGCACCTATTTTTGAACCAACAGTGTGTCATGGACAGACCAATCTGTTTTCTGACTGTTTTGGTAACTTTTAAGAGTAGAACCTCTGCCAAAATAAAAGCAAGCAGAACTGCTCCATAACAAAGAAGCATCCTTTAGCTTTCACTGAAAAAACTGTGCAAAAGGTGCTTATTCTTGCTTAAGAGACAAGTTAGAGAATGAAAAGCTGGGCATTAGAAGCGTGCTGGAAGGATGATAATCCTTACAGTCTCGCAAAGAAATCATCTTGCATAGTGGAAAGACAAAGAATTGACAAGAAACCTTGAGTCATTTCTCCTGCAAAAGTGTTGTCTTTTGGGAGGCAAAGAAAATTTGGCCTGAAGGAAAGCAGTAGTGTCTTTTCTGAAGATCTTCAACATGGCCTAGTGCCTAGTTTTATAAGTATTTTGAAATATTTTTTTTAACTTGTAAAAGTATTAAGTTTAAAGTTTAAAGTTGAAGTGAAGTTAAGTTAGTTTAAAGTTAAAAGTTTAAGTGATAAGATTGCATTACAAGAGGTTATGCGAAAAGACAGAAGGCATGCAGCAGTCTGTCTATGAACCTCAATCTGTCTTCATGCTCTTCAGGATACTGAAATTTCTAAAAAAAAGCAATCCCACAGGAAATCTCTAAAACCAGTGAGAAGAGAAAAAAAAACTGATTTTTTTTTTTTTACTTAAATTGAGGTATAAAACTATGAATCATACTTCAGCCTCAATTTTTGAAGTTTGAGATGTAGAAGAATTATAGAACATATGTTTCCAGAGTTAAATTTTCACTAGCTCCACAGAAGCCTCTGAGAGGTGAAGGAGACAAAAGACTCAGTTATGAAACCACCTTAAGAGACAGGGGATATAGAACTGACATTTCATGAATCTGTGAAGTAGATATGATTA